TGACTTTGTGAAAATAATTTATGACAAAGGTATGGGAGCTTGATTTCATGACATAATATTATGTAGGATATTAATAGAAAATGAGATATATATTTCTTTTATAAAAAGTAAAATGTTAATAATATTAATAATAATAAAAATAGTAAAAAGGATAGTTATTTGATATTTTTATTGTCTTAAGATTATTTTATTTATTAATTGGTTTATAGAGTAAAATGATAATATTCAAATAAAATAAAATCAATTAATAATAACAAAACAAGAACAACAATAATGATAATAATAATATGAATAATTAATTAACTTAAAGTTAAGGGTTTTAAGTACCAATTTAAATTTCAAAGTTTAGTTTATAAAATGAAACGATGATATTCAAATTGAAGAATAAAAGTAATAAATATAAAAAGTAATTAATTAATAAATTAATTATTATAAGTGTTAGTTTCAACATTTAATTTTTAATAACTAGCATTGTTAAAATCTCAAATCTAACTAGATATATTATTTAGTGTATGGAAAAATTAGGATGTTACATCTCAAAGTCCAATAAAAGTGAAATTGTGTATATCCCTCTATTATCTAGTTATTTAAGAGGAATTCGTGTAGAAATAAACACTCGCCCCAAGTTGAGGGACTCACTTCTTAATGAAAAGTTATCTTCAGTTGAGTGACACACCTCTTAATAAAAGTTGCCTTTAGTTGAGGGATTGCCCCAAGACGAAGGATTCGCCTCTTAATAAAAAAACTGCCTTCAATTGAGGGGCTTGCCTCTTAATAAAAAGTTGTCATCAAACGAGGGACTCGCCCCAAGACAAGGGATATATCTCACAAATGATAGAGGATCTGAAAAACACTTCTTCCGGAACAAAGTCCTTGTGTTTAAGGTACTATGTAGTATTATATTTGTGAAAGTCATAAACAAGGGTGGCCCGGGCGTCCTTGCCTAAAAAGGATGTCTCCTAGGCCATGTCCTCATAAAAAAGAAGGGCCCACCCATTGGCATTGATGACATGTATATTGTTATTAGTCAGATGAAAGGAAGTCTACCATGATTCCTTGATGAATATATGGTCAACAGCTTCCCATGGCCATGAGAGATCAGTTGCCGTCCCCTAAGTGTTTCCTAACCCTATGCCCAAAAAGCCATTATAAATCTCTCTTCCTAACAAAGAGAACGAACAAATTTGAACTCATACGCTTATACACAAGCAACCAACACATATACATAAACTTTCACCTCACGTGAGTTGGTCCTCTAAACCACCACAAAACACCATTGTATAAAGCTTCTCGCTGTCGTGGGCAACCCCTAACCACCGTACAACGTAATATACCTACTAAAGCGTATGAGTGCCCTTGCCCTTGCAGGGTAATATGAACACCTGTACTTTTTTACCAGTACAATAATCATTAGCCATTAAAGAACAATGTTCATACCTTTTCTTAAAGATAATATAACATCAAAATTGAAGGGTATATAATATGCAAAGTTGGGGAGAAAGACTTTATTAAAGAAAAAAACCAAGTATGTTGACACTGGTGATCTAAAGTAAAAGAAAACGAATATACTTTGACAAAATTAATAGAAAAGCAAAAAGAAAAAGAAAAAACAAACAAACAAACTATCAAAGAAAAACAAAAACAAACCATCAAAGGATCTTGTAAGTGGAGAAGAACTCAGAAGTATAATAACAAATTAAACTTATGCTCTATTATCTTCAAAGACACTTTTTGAATCTAAAGAAAAATCAGTGTTTCTTGTAGCCGAGCCACGTTACAATCTAAATTAAGACCTCAATGATCCATGACTAATTGAATATCTTGAATATTACTTAGATGAAATATAAAATTGGTATGTAGTTTATGCATTGTTTGAAAATAAGGAGAACACCACCCAATTGAGTGATATTCAATGATATTATAATTCTGATTTAAATTGATTGTTGATCTTAAATTACATTGAAAATATTCATTTGTTAAAGAAGAATTTCATCTTCATGCTATGATTCATGGATAGTTGTAACATTGATTTTGAATTTGCATTAAAAATGAATCATATGAACTTACAAAAATTTCAAAGTTTTTCTTTAATCATAAACCTTACATGATGTATGCATGATTGGGTATTTAGAATCATTTGTCGTTTATATGAATTTTATTTGAGGTAAAAAAAAAACTTGGGGAGAGTTGATAAGTGTCAAAATTACTTGTTTCACACAAGCGTTGGAATCACATAAAATCCCCAATATATCATAAAAAATTAAAATATTTTTATGAACATTTTAACTATGATATTTATAAGTACAACTGAGGTGGTCAAATATCATAAAAAATTAAAATATTTTTATGAACATTTTAACTATGATATTTATAAGTACAACTGAGGTGGTCAAATGCGAATAAAAAAGTTCGTTAGAAAAATTGAGGTGGTCAAAGTCCACTTGAATGAGTTGTACATAACTTTTGGATGAAGAAAGTAGGCATGCAGGGAGAGCTAAAGACATCACTGGACAAACATGCCTGCTCAGACCCATATAAATTGAGGTACAATCAATTTATTGGGAGATCACTTATTCCATAATTAAAGAGCAATACAATAGATATTTGTGGGGAGTAATCCTAAAAGAGATATTGAAGATTGAATGTGCTCATCATTGTAAAGCTACTTTGAGTAAGAGTATCTAAATTCTTTTTTGTTAGTGTTAGATGTAATATTCTAAATACTAATGTATTCTTATTGAACATGACATTATATGTGTTCTAGTTATTTATTAATATTTACGATTATCTTTGTTCTTAATGCCTGTTATAAATTAGTTATTTATAACTTGTTATAATGATTTTGAATTGATATTGAGAAATAATTTTCTTAATTAGATCAAATAATTTTCTTAATTATATTAAATATTTATCTGTTAAATAGTAAAACCCTAGAGACGGATTTAGGTTTAACATTTACATATATTGTCGAAACTTAATGATATCGTATTGATTAACCGACTAACAAATTATCGACTAAGCAATACGACTAAGTTCAAGTTGTTGTTTAGATATAAACAACACATGTAAAGTGATAAACGTCAATATTAATCGAATATATATATATATATATATATATATATATATATATATATATATATATATATATATATATATATATATATATATATATATATATATATATATATATATATATATATAATAATGAAATATAACGTCATCAATCTCATTTTCATTTGTTAAATTTTATTTTCATCCATTTTTCAGTTTAATTTAGTCATCACAAAACAACTTTTTTCAAATAAATTTTCTAGAAATGATAAAAATTATTGAACAACTTTTAAACATCATATCAATTCTTTATTCTACTAACATGTACACATAGACCCACATCCTTGGGTTCTGTATATGAGCACAACCTTCCTTCCATTAGAACCATTGATCAACATCCAATGGTTGCCACATAGACAAATCAAATACAATTATCACCTTCGCTCAATATAAATGCGTCTCCTTTATATAATACACACTCATTTTTTATAAGTCTCTCTCTCTCTCTCTCTCATTTTCTTGATGAATTTTTATTCATTTATATTAATCTCGTTTTTAAAGTTTAAAGTAATTTTAATCGCACTTTAGTCAAAATCATCAAAAGTTATTTATTACGGAAATAGAAAAAAGTCAGATAAATTAATAAATATGTATGAAAAGTACAATTATTGTTTTAAAGATAACAAATTTGTTAGGAAAAAGATAACAAATTTAGTCAAAATATATATGAAAAATTATCTGTAGTTATAGGAAAAAGTACAATTATTGTTTTAAAGATAACAAATTTGTTAGCTTCAATATGTATGAAAAGTAAAATAAGGAACTCTTAAAAAGGGAGTAATATGAAGTTTTAAAATTTTAATTTTTTTGTTCGGTTAAACTAGCTCAGTTGATAGTTGTGTAGAGACATCAGATGTAATGACGCATGTTTGAATCCGCGATATCTCATTTGTTCATCTTTAAAGAGTGAATTCTAATCACTATACTACTTGATAAAAAAAATGGAAATTACTAATCCTATCATAAATGGTGGAAAAACACCATATAAAAATTTGAAAATATCCATCTAATTTCGAAAACGCATCTCATACGCACTAAATTCATTCATTTTTGAATCACCTCCTAATTATATGAATAAATTTATTCCAAAAATAAATTTTTGAAGAGTCTTCGGAAATACATTTCTAAAACTTACCACTTTTCTTTACATTTCTTTAAATTTTTTTTTTTTGAATTTTTGTGTTTTTATTTACCGTCTTCTCTTCCTAGACTTCATGCTATTTTCTTTATATTATGATAAAGAATATCGGTATTTTATGGTCAATTGATTGAAATTCATATTTGATAACATTTTTTAAAAACAAATATTGAAAGGTTTTGTTGTTGAGTTAAATTTTTAAAAATCAAAATGAAAATGAAACATTTTAGGGAGAAAGCTTATTTAAAAGAGAGAGAATGAATAGAAATAGAAATGTAGAAGTATTGTTTGGTTAATTTTTCAAAGATTGAAATGAACATGTAGAAACATTTTTGAAAGAGAGATTTGTTGTATAACAAACTTCAAGAATTTTTGAAAGTGTACTTTAAATTTTAACAAAATAAGGGTTAGACTCACTTACATATAAATTTAGTATGTTTGTGATACGATACATCTCCACGAATTTTTACAAATATGATAATAAACATAGGGTGCGTTAAGTATCCCAAAAAAATTTTAATTTTGAAAACCAATGAAAGAAAATCAACCCACGTTATCGACCGACCACTATCCAAACCCGAAGAGAAAAAGTGGGTCAAATACCCGTCTCGGTCTCAACTATATAACATAGAAAGCCCGCAACTGCACGTTTGATTTCGTATCGTTCTTGCCCTTCCCTTCAAGCCAAGCTCTTCTCAACTCTTCTCTCTCACTCTCTTCTCCCCTTCTCGATCTTTCTACTTCCTCAACCATGATTACAGGTTGCGAACCTTCTCTTCCTTCAATTTTCAATCATTTTCTATTCCTTTTCTCACATCCATTCGCTTTATTTTGATTTGTGTTTTTTTTTTCAATTTTTTTTTCTTAGCGATTTGATTCCTGTTGTGCAATTGACATCAATTGGACGTGTGGTTGTAATTTAGGTTTAGAAAATTGTGTTAATTGGGAGTTTTTACGGGATGAGGTTTTTAGTTAGATTAGATTAATTATGGTTTCTTTATATGAAATTGTGCTAAGCTAGTATTCTTGCGTGTTAATATTATCTTATCTTTGCGCTTTAGGTTTTCAAGTTATGTGGTTCGTTACTCTGTGTTTTTATTAAGTGCTTTTTGGTGTATTTGAGCTTTTGAAAGTTGAGATTTAGTTATGTTGAGCTTCTTTTCAAGTCAAACTAGTATGCTGGACCTGTAATGCATTGTTTTACATCTCTTTAAAGGGTGTTATGGATGAACTGGATTTTCTTTGAGGATAAATGTGGAGGTTATGGTTTTGATGTAAAGCTTAAAATTTTGTTTAATTTTAATTTTGAATGAATTGATGCTCTGTCAATTGTTAATTTGTCTATTTTTAATGTGATATTAGGTTATTTAATTGATTTCGATGCTCAATATTGGTCTTTCTTTGCAGTGAGTGTTAAGTGGCAAAAGGAACTTTTCAAAGATGTAGAGATTGATACCAGCCAGCCCCCTTATGTTTTCAAGGTCCAATTGTTTGATCTAACCGGAGTGCCTCCAGAAAGACAAAAAATTATGGTCAAGGGCGGACTTTTAAAGGTAAGTAGATAAATAGATTGTTGAATCATGAATGTAATACTAAGTAGAACACTGTTGACGAGAATGCTTTGTCTGATTTCAATTTCAATTTGATGTTTCCTTATGTTTTTTTTTAAAAATAAACCTACATGTTCAGGTCTAATAAAATATATATCAGTATTAAAATTCGAAAGTTTTAATTTTTTTCCTACCTTTTCCCCTCTTATAATGCAGGATGATGCTGATTGGGAAAGGTTAGGAGTGAAAGAGGTTAGTGGTGCTAGAATGTGTTTTTTAGTAATGTTTTACTCTATTCCATACATATTTTTATTTGAATGACCTAAATTATATGTCTTTTGTAGGGTCAAAAGCTAATGATGATGGGAACTGCTGATGAAATTGTGAAAACTCCAGAGAAAGGAACTGTTTTTGTTGAAGATCTTCCTGAAGAAGAACAAGTAGCCACTGTTGTAAGTTTCAACTTTTTGTTTATATATTAACCGTATTTCTTAAACTCTAGAGTAGTTGTGCGTATGTCATATGATTCTTAAAAACTGTAACTCAAATTAACATGTATGATTTCATAAGATTCTTGATTGCAATGATCCCCATGTTATGTCATCTATTGTATAGAACTTAGAAGTTAAACTAGATTTGCTCTTGTTTAAAAGTTTATTGTCGCCAAAGACCATAAAAACAAATTGATAATAATCCCCTTTATCTCCACACTTATCTATTTTCTTAAAAGTCATAATAACCATGAGGTTTGATTGGGAAAGAAAAGATTCAGCAACTACCTCGTTTAATTCCACTCAATTTTTCCTGAGTTGTCCTGGCAATGGCTAGGGCAGTGTTATCATATATCCGCCATGGCGGTTTCTGGGTTCGCTGCAACGGCAAATATTGGACTGATATTGCGGGTTTTTCCACCATAATCTTCTATAACGGCGGTGCAAAGTGCCCTTATGGCAGGATTTTGGCTCTCCGCCATGGGCCGCCAACCGCCATTAACAACACAGGCAAGTGGGATTAAATGCATATGCACATCAGATACTGCATGGTCTCTCCTATTGAATTTTGAAGGGAAACCGAGCATTGGCCATGAAGGTGCTCTTGTTGCAGTTGTCTGCTTTGTGCAACTTATTGTTAGGATTGTGGTTTAGTTGATTTAGGACCCGTGTAGTTTTTAGTTTTAAAGAAAAAGCATTTTCAAATTTTTAATTAGAATTGTGTAGAAGAATTTTGTAATAGTTATGTAAATTTTTTGATGAAAACTCACACAGTTCGATAAAGTTTAATATCTATGCGAGTTTCACGATATGAACTCTAAATTAGTCTAAGTACTGTTTTTAGAAGCTAAAAGTAGCAGGTTCTGAAAAAATCTCTAAGAAAGGCTCGGTCAAGAAATCACTATTTTTATTCCTTATGCTTAAATAAATAGACTCAATTGTTTAGTCCATTTCGTGATTTATGTTTTCTTAATAGAGGCGGTTTAGAGTGGGAGCATCTAGTATTTGTTTCACATATTCTAAGTTGCAGGATGGTTGTGCGTTTTGGTCTTCTAAAGAAATACATGCCATCACATTGGTCATCAGCATCAAATTGATATTCCAATGATATACTATAATATATCATAAATAGTCCTCCAATATCACATTTTTGCCATTAAATTTGTCTAAAATTGACAGCTCATTGATCCCAGAAAGATGAAACTGATGGAGTTATATATCATTTAATGACTCATTTGACTTGACTTCATAGATTAATAGCGGTCCAATGTGATGTTGTGTATATCTTTGGTGCTACAAAAGTAGGTGTTTTAGTGCTCTAAACTAAATATGTATTATCTAATACTATCAAGTGGGCTTCATTGTTTGAATAATCTTGATTTTTTTCGGTTTGTGTTCTTATTTTCTTGGATTGAATCATAGAATATTTTTTATATTCGAATATTTGATTTCCCCCTTTTCCTTTGGGACAGGGACATACTGCTGGTCTTTTCAATTTGGGAAATACCTGTTATATGAACTCAACATTGCAATGCCTCCATTCTGTGCCAGAGTTGAAGTCGGCTTTGATTGAGTATGTCTTTTTTAAGGAGACATTGATCAACATTTCTATTTGCTGCATTTGAAGCTAATATATGATTAACAATATTTGAACATTTTTGGTATCAGTTACTCACATTCAGGACGAAACAATGATGTCGATCAGTCGTCTCATTTGCTGACCGTCGCAACCCGTGACTTATTCAGTGAGCTTGATAAAAGTGTCAAGCCCGTCGCCCCTATGCAATTTTGGATGGTACATTATCTAGTGTCAGTTATATAGTTAATGGTTACTTTTTGTTGATCGATGTGCTGTATGGGTTTGTTGTGGTAAAATTGGTTCAAGCCCCCTTTTTTGTGGAAAATATATTCATGTCATTCTAAAATTATGCCAATACCATTCAAAGGGGGAATGTGATTTTAGGAAATTATTGATAATTAACTTCTGCCGCTTTATTTTACTGCTTTTGTCATTTGAGTAGGGTAGTTTATTCTCTGCCATTGTATATTGTAAATTTTGTTTCCATATCTATTTTAATGATTGATTACTGTTTGACTTTTGCTTTACATATTAAGAAATGGTACCAAACTGATTTGTTTCGGCATTTGCCAGGTATTGCGGAAAAAGTATCCTCAATTTGGCCAGCTGCATAATGGAGTGTTCATGCAACAGGTTCATAAATTGCATGCCTTTTCTGAAATTACTTTCATTACTCTAGTGCATCAATATTTAACTTTTCATGTCTAACAGGATGCTGAAGAATGCTGGACACAAATTCTATACACACTTTCACAATCTCTAAGATCCCCTGGATCTAGGTATTTTTCTTCACATTTCTTGGTAAAAAATGGAAATTTTGCAGCATCTTGTATCAATTATTTATGATTTAGAAAAAGTAGGCAGACTTAATTGAATTACTAAATAGTTGGTTGATTTCCAGTATCTGTGCTTCTTCTAACTCCTAGATATACTGTCTGTTGTCTGGTCGAATTAGTTTAAAACGCAACTTCAAAGTGGTCTACTAGGTTTTACGAACTCTGTTTATTTTGCATTATTTTTTGTCAACATCTTTTTGCTCTGAATATTTATTTCAGTCTCACTAATTTTATCTGTCATTTGTTCAGTGAAAGTACTGATGCTGTGAAGGCTCTCTTTGGCGTAGAACTTAAGAGCAGGTACATTTCGAGACTTCATCAATTTTTTCACCCCATGTGCAATACGTTAATTACAGTCACAAACTAAACTGTTTGTAGGTTTATATTTTCTCTTTTGTAGACTTTTGTTGTTACTATTTTCCGTTAGTGATTGGACATACCCCACCTAGAATATATGAAATATACTTTCTTTGCATCCTAATATCCTTTGTATATGTATATAATTTCCGTCCTTTATCTTTTACTGAATATTCATGTTAGTCCTTTATCTTTTAATATGTTTTAGCCCTTTATCTTTCTTAAATGTTGGACGGAAGTCCTTATATGACATTGTGTTAGTCCTTTATCTTCTTTATGTGTTTTAGTCCTTTATCTTTCTTAAATGTTGTGTTAATTTTTTGTATACCCAAAGTCCTTATATGCCATGTATCTTCATCGGGAATATTAGCACATAATGTCATTCAAATACAACCTTCTTTAGTCATCGGTTGAGTGATTAGTTTCATGTCAATCAGAAGTATAATCATGAAAAGGAATAATTCTTTGAACCTATGGTATACCTCACGAAAATCCTCATAACTAGTGAATCGACCCTTTTTCAATTGATTGATAGTCTCTTGTTACAAATTATTTTCATGAACTAAAATCCCCCAATTTATTTATGTTTTGATTTTTAATTTTTGTTATAATTAATTTAGAGATCCTTATGAGATGACTTAAGTTTACCTACCTTGTTACTACTTTTTTAAATTTCAAATTGTTTAAAAGAGGTTGTGAATGAATGGCATTATGTGCAAGGCTTCCCAATGAAGATACATGACATATAAAGACTTTGAGTGTACAGAAGGACTAACGTAACAAAGTTATAGGACTAAGACGGATAAAAGAAGATAAGCAACCAAAATGAATATTAAGTAAACGATTAAGGACGGAAATTATATTTAAGCCTATAGGTTAATTTCTCAAAATTAATTAGAAGCGCCATTTATAATATATGTAAATTGAGAATCAAGATGACCACCAAAGGATCCACCAAGAGGGGATGAAGACATGCCACATGAAATAGGAGTGACTCGTGCTAGTTTATTTCAGGAGGTGTAAACTCAGCGGCTCATGCAGTTCATTTAGGTATGAGCTTCAAAGCTCTGAAGAAACATAAACTGTACATAAAAAAAGTTATTCTTCGGCTGAGCAATTAAAGTATTTAAGCCACTAAATTATTCTTTTAATTATTTGACGGGACACTGTTTCAAATTAAGTGAACTAGGCGGCTTCTTGTGTAGAGAATAGACATGACTCATTTCCTAGTAGTTTAGGCCTATAGTTACGTGTACATGTCTCATTTCCTTAATAATTTTTTAGTTTGTTTCTAACTTTCTGTTTTTACTTGACTTCATTTGAATATTTTTTCTTGTAACATTATTGCCCATGCTTTAGGATGCATCTGGCTTAGTTCAACTAAGTATGGATAATGATGGCAATTTACATGTTTTTAATGTTCAGAAATCTATTAAATCTTTAGTTAAGATTTTAAGATTGTATCCTTTTATATACAAAACCCATTGTCTGTTTAGTGATTTGATAAGTTCTCAGGATCTATTGCCAAGAGAGCAATGAAGAAAGCTCAGAAACAGAATCTGTTTATTCACTTAAATGCCACATATCGCAGGAGGTAAACCATCTGCATGAAGGACTAAAACATGTAAGTGCTAAAGCTGATCTCTTCCAATTATTAGTGCATGCACATGTGTGTATCCTTCACCAAGGCTGTTGATTTCTCTTCCAATTATTGATAGTGCATGCACATGTGTATCCTTCACCAAGGCTGTTGATTTCTCTTCCAATTATCGATAGTGCATGCACATGTGTATCCTTCACCAAGGCTGTTGATTTCTTCATATGACCCATATTTAGTGTATCTATTTTGCTTGATTATCATTTCTTTTCTATCTTCAATACTCATTGCTTGATCTATATATATAATATATTCTGCCTCACCTTCTATCCTCCCTCAATACGTTCAAAGATTTTACAATGATTATTCTTGATAAATCTTCATAACTATGCCACTGCATATGCAGAAGTGTAATGACATGTTGGATTACTAAAAATCTAGTAGACTTGATAATTTCAATATTTTAGTCATGCTTATTTCTATTGCCCAATAATAATAAGTTCTTGGTTACCATGAGAACTCAGGAACTTGCTAGTTTAACTTAAGTACTTTCACCTGTACACATATTATCTTATTTTGGTGCAGAGGTAGGCGGGGCCTTAGGCAGAGGTGTTGGGTTTGGTTCAGAGTTAGTGGGTACTAATTCTTCCTGTTTTGGTGAAGTGTTAGGTTTGGTCAAAGTTATTGTGTACTAATTCTTTATGTTTTGGTACAGAGGTTGGTGGGGTTTTAGGCAGAGGTGTTGGTTTGGTTCGAAGTTACTGTGCAGTAATTCTTAATTAGAAATAATTAACTGGTTAAAGTCATTCAAACAGTGGTTAATTATAACATATCGCTTATTTAATTTATTAACACTGCAGTGATTAACTGTCGTTAGTTTAGAGTTGTATGTTTTCTTATACGTAGGTTCCCCCCACAAATTCATCCCCTTAAACATCTGCTATATAAATTTTTTGAACAATACAAAATAAGTAATGTCTTCCTAATAGTTTGATATTTGGAATTCTACATAGTTTTATTTTTCATATGATGAATAATTTGTATTTGAAGTTCTATTAACATAGATGATTTTTGTAGGGTTTAAAATCAGAGTTGGAGAAGGCTTCCGCTGCTTTGGGTCGTAGTGCTGTTTACCTGAAGGAATCACGCATCAATGCCCTGCCAAGGTTATTACCCTCTTCTTAGATGTGATCTTTTTCACCCCATCCCTTTTGCCATTGCCATGCAATTTCAGTTGGATCTTGGAACACATTCCCCAATTCAATACTAGTGATTTAGGTATGAAGTTGTTAGGGTCCCACCACCACCACACTCAAGAATCAGGGAAAATAGATTTCTTGCCCATGAATTTTATTGATTCAAAAGAAAAAGATATACAAAAAAACTATTTCCCCCTCCTACAGAATATTCTCTAGTCAGCAACTCATAACAATCTTCCCAACTCTTTAGGAATAGTTAATCCTATTTATAAGTTATAGGTCTAACAGAAAAAAAACATATTAACCAATATAGAAATTAACAAACACAACAACTATTCTAACATTACTAACTATTCGTTTACATCTTTCCCTTTTTTTTGTATAGTAAATCTGCATTGATGTGGCAGGATCAAGTTCCTGACCAGTAACCACTTAGCCATAGTGGCTTTGGTACCTTGTCATGAATCATATTAATCTAAACTAAAAGCCTAACCTGGTAGCTCATGTCTCGTTAATGATTTTATCTATAACAGAGACAATGAGTGGAATCCCATTCTGTTGTTTCATTGTTTGTCTATTTGTCGTTTTCCATGTTGTACATCTTATATTTATAAGCCTCTCTCCCATGCCCTTCCCAAAGAAAACTTACGCACAGAAAATATGAATGCAAAATTATAATATTGAACTATCATAATTTTATTCAATGATGTATGTCTTGTTGCATAGATATTCTAGATAGGTTAGGTTTCTAAGTTGAGTTTGCCAAGGTCGTTTTCTTCCATTGACGGTGAAAATGAGTGTCATACTTATTTGCTTAGAGTTACAAAACAAATCTCAGTTGAGTCCTTAATTTATCATTTTGGATATTACTAATTTCAATTGTATAGATCTTATAAATTACATGAAAGAGTTGTTAAGATCTTGTGCTATTACCTGCTATCTTTCTCATTGGTCATACTCACAATCAACATATTGGTCTGGTTTTTGACTACATTAGTTTCGAAATATTGGCCTCATGGAGATCTTCTGTTTCTTGTGCTTTGTTTCTTCTAACTAATTGCTCTCTGAAGATGCAATTCTGAGTGGTTTCAACTGGTTTTTTTCAAGGTACTTGACTGTTCAGTTTGTCCGTTTCTTTTGGAAGAGGGAATCAAACCAGAAGGCTAAGATTTTGCGAGTAATGCTTATTACTATCTTTTTCTCTTTTTTTTTGGATATGGTTGGGATGGAACAAGTTTCCTTTTGTCTGCTTTCTCAATTTGTTTTATAATGCAACTGTGCTTGGTTCTGTCAGAAAGTAGATTATCCTCTGGAGTTGGATGTTTATGATCTTTGTTCTGATGATCTTAAAAAGAAATTGGAAGCTCCTAGACAGGTATCCACTTTGTTGACATTTGAAAATCTGATGGTTGTTTGTAATAAAGAGGAGTCTGCCTAGTAAAATGTGCGGGTCTATATTCTAACCCTGGATTTTGTGCCTACAGTTCCTAAGAGACGAGGAAGGCAAAAAGGTTGGTCTGAAAGTGAATGAGAAAAGCTCTGTTCGCAAGGAAAGTGATGTAAAAATGTCCGATGCTGAGGTAAGGAAACAGCCAAACTTAACATCATGTTGATATGATGGTGATTCCATTCTCTGTTTGCAAGGTTAGCTAGCATGAAAGTATGAAATAACAATTTATCCCATGCTTCATTGCACGAATAAAAAGGGAGGTGTTGAATCCTGTTTCTTCTGAATGGTGGGGTGTTATGTTCTAAAAATGACTACTATCAATTTTATTACCTCCGCTTCTTTATATAAGAGACAACTCATATTTTAGAATCATTGAATAATTAATGTATCTAGTCTATATACCGACCATATGCATTGCTTATTCAATGAATCTAAAAAATGAGTTGTCTCATACTCCATATGTCCCAAATTATAAGTCACTTTGTCAAAAAATTTGTCCCAATTTATAAGTCACTTTACATTTCCAATGCAACATTGACATTTTTTCCAATATATACCTTCTATCATTTAGTATTATTTCTTTTTTCAATTAGTTAAATTTCTCTTTCATCTATAATAAATGAATGACAATATTATAAAGTACTGCAAAAATTCTATTTCCCATACAACCATGATTATGTTTCTTAATTCACGTGAAAGGTGCAAAATGTCTTATAATTTGGGGCAGAGGAAGTATAAAGGAACGAAAGTAGTATGGAATTAAGTATATCATGTGAAAATGAAGTGTGACAAAATATTCAATCATTTTTCAAATTTTACGAAGTTTTGTACTTAACTATTTAACGAGTACTTATAATTCAACATCTGAATTTGTTGAATGCATATTTTATAGAAAGTTTTAAACGAAGTAAGATCAGAAAACTAATTTCGATTATCTGTGGATCCCCATCTCTCATGCTTTAAGTACTTTGGATCCATCATACAAACAGCGAAGATAGAGGGAGATGAAACCATAGGTTTATAGTAGGGTAGTTGAAACAGAGTAATGCTTCAGGTGTGATATTCGGTTGAAAAAATACTTCCAGAATATGCACATTTGTATTCCATGGAATCACCATTCAACAGTTTACAAATGCGTATAAATAGAATGCATTAGTTGCTTATACTGTCTTTTGCATTAATTTAGGGATCCTCAAATGGGGGAGGGGAGCCATCTGTTGCTCCAATGGAGGAAGGTAAAAACGCACTACATTCTTCTACATTTTTTTTCTTCACTGTCAACCCTCTTTCTGCTTTTTACTCCATTTTTGTCTATAGGTGAAAAAGAAACCCAAATGACTGGAGTTTATGACCTGGTTGCTGTATTGACCCACAAGGGTAGGAGTGCTGATTCAGGACATTATGTTGGTTGGGTCAAGCAAGAAAATGGTTAGTTCTTGGAAACAGTTGTTTTTATCTGGTATATGACTATCTATCTCAATTAATCACTATATATATTATTGTTGACAGGGAAATGGATAGAGTTTGATGATGACAATCCAAAACCTAGAATACAAGATGATATCACTAGACTATCTGGAGGAGGTGAGAATATACTGAATTAGTTTTACTTTAATTGAGCCTAGCATGAGCTGACATTCACTAAAATATCAGCATGTGTACCTCTATATATTGTTCCTCCAAGGATCAAGCCAATTTATTAGTTTGTTTTTATTATACGAAATTTTAAGTGCAATAATTTTTTTCAGCTTCAACTTTGGTTTCATATTATGATATGATAAAAACATGTTAAAGCATCTTTCTTTGTCTTTAGGTGATTGGCATATGGCATATATAATCATGTACAAGGCTCGTGTTGTATCTCTGTAACTGCTAAGAAAAGCGCATGTTTGATGTTTTACCTCGATTTAAGGATTGTGAAAAAGAATGGTCCTAGGGTCCTTGTTTGTATTTTACCATTTGAACTTTGATGAATGTTAGTTAGTCTTATTTGTTTAATTTAGGTATTGTATTTTTTTTAAAGAAAGGATGTATAAGAATTTGAGAGCATTTGCTATCCTGAGTAACCTCCCTTCTTCCCTCGACTGCGCTCAAGAGATAGCCGAATATCAAGTTATATTTATTTGACGAATTCCAGACTATGAGCAAGACATTAGAGTAGCGTCTTTTATGGAAAATGCTTAATTAATATTGATAATGCCATTATTTATGATATACAGGACAAAATCCAAAGGAAAAATCAATTTAAGTTGGTGAATATTGTTTTTTTAAAGATGTTTCCCCTCTTATATCGTAGTCTTTTACTCACCATCATCAATTTACGGCAGTAATATAATGTAAATTTATCATTATCGCCTATGTCCATTGCAAGACATTTTATTTTCATAGGTTATCTCCAATGGTGGTATTGATTAGAGTTTCAAGAAGGGTTGTAAATGAGTCGAGTCAAATTTGTTTTAGTTCGGTTAAGAATTGAATCAGTTCAAATTTTATATTGAGTTAGACACTTTTTTAAAGTTCAAATACTAAGTTCACGAATAATTTCAGTTGCTTCACAAATTTAATTCATTTTTAAAATTAATTATATATATATATATATATATATATATATATATATATATATATATATATATATATATATATATTTGATATTTTAAATTGATATTTTAAATTAATATTTTAAATATATATATATATATATATATATATATATATATATATATATATATATATATATATATATATATATATATATATATATATATATATATATATATATGATATTTTAAGTTAATATTTTTTAAAAAGAAAGTATTGAAGTAAAATAAAAGTTATTAGATTGAAATTTAATTTTGTCTAAAATCTCTTAATTCAAAAACTATACAACTTTTAAGAGATACATTTGCAAGTCTAATTAAATTATTCAATTTGAGTTTAAATTTGTCTAGTAAAACCACAATTTCGTCTAAAAATTTAAGAATCTTACAAATTTAATGTATACCAAATATTAATAGAAATTAATACGTTTTCATCACAAAATGATTACACCTGCAACTTTCATTACATATGTCATTTTAGCAAATGCCATTATGCTTCAAATAAGTATGACTTTAAATGTAATTGTTAACTTTACGTCCATAACTAGTACGAAAAGAAAATATAGGATTAAGATTTGGAGTAAATCTTTAAACTTACTTTTAAAGATAATATGATCCTTCTCATACATAATCGAGTTGATTCATGAACTTAACGAGCGAGTCGAACTATGTATAGTTCAAATTCAACTTATTTAGTTAACGATTTTATTTTTTCGTTCATATTCAACTCATTTGGTTCATGAACATAATCTAATGAGTTAATTGTCGAACCAAATTTTAAATTATTTTCGAGTTGGTTCAACTTATTGCCCTAGTTTGAGAGGTGAGATAGATTTGAGTTTACAAATTTTTGTTTGAGGCAGATATATAGATATCACAATTTTTATTCTTTAAACATTCAGGGACTTCCCGCAACTGCGTTGCTTGACCTAAGTATTGTGAAATTAAGGTCCAATTTTGTATTAAAACAATCCTTCAGATCTTGCTTGGTCTTTATTCCTCTTTTGATGCACTATACTGAATTGGGTTTGAAGGGTCAGATAGATTTGAGTTTACAAATTCTTGTCCGAGGTAGATATATAGATGTCACAATTTTTATTTTATATAGATGTCATAGTTTTTATTTTTTAAAGATTCGAGAACTTCCTGCAACTATGTTGTTGTTTGGCCTAAGTATTATGAAATTGTGGATCCATTTTGTATCAAATCAATCCATCAGAGGTACATCTCTGAAGTGTATCAGAACATCCTGTTTTTTTTTTGCTATAAGTTGTGTATTTGTTTTTAGATGAGCTATGAAGCACGACCTTAAATAAAAAAAATAGACGTACAAAATAATAAGAGACTAATATTGGATGTGTCGAAAATGATATATAAATATACGTAGAAAATGTCGTACAATCGAGATTCAAAATGTAATAAAATCGTAGACATAAAGTATAGAGTATAGTAATACAACAAAATAATAGACTACTAGTGTGTGTGCCTGACAACATCTCCTCTGTTTGTCTACGAGACAAGGTCCCATGTGCCTCCGCCACCATGGCATATAGGACTCGCCTGACAGCAGACCTCTCAGGAAAGATACTCTCGTCAATGCCTGCCCGCGCAATTTCCACTATGCAACGACACATAGGCAAGACATCATCAATATGATCTAGCTAATCCTGCTCCTCCTTTAGTATCTCCTAATGTGTTGGTTTCAACGGTTCTCCTGGAGCAGTCTGCACCATGTACGAATATGACATCCTAAAGAACCATCTGATGTACCCGTCGATGTAGCTCTAGTCGTTCGGGTGCTATGGCAGCTCATGCCTCCTCTGGTACAAGATAATTCTCATAATCAACAAACATTTCCTCTATTTGTCTACGAGACAAAGAATGAGGAGCAGAGACAACATGGTGTTCGAGGATGGTCTGTGTGTACCAGAACTTGTGCATGTATTTCAATTTTTTATTAATTAATTATACTATCCTCTCCTATATGTATCACCACTTGTGCATGTATTTCTATGCACCAACGTCTCATTTTTCTTTGCACTACATTCTCTTCATATTTCCTTGCATTTTTCAGTTAAAATGGATTCCTCTTCTTCCTCTTCGTCATCCTCATATATCTATCAGGTTCCATATATCACCACGAGCAATGCCAATTTATTTTTTTCCCCAGTCAAACCTCCAATGAAGATTCGCCTCTGGAATACATTGACATTACAACATCTTAAGAGGAGTCTGATCCGCTGGTTGAATGGAGACATTCTAGAGGGTGGAAAGATCATAAGAATTCAAAGGCTTGTTACCATATTTAATCAAAATGGAGAAGCTCGTTTAAGGGAGAATGTTACTAATGACCAAGATGTTCATACGTTGATGTATAGTTCTCAAGAAATTGTCTTGATGGTTGTAATCGCTTAGTTATATTGTTGAGTTATTGTATTTGTTTGTTTTGTTTTTTTTATTATTTAAGTTATTGTTAAATGTTGTTGTTATGATATTAAGTTATGATTATTTAAGTTATGTTATTTTTAATTGTAATTGCTTAGTTATGCTATGAATGGAATGAAATTTGTTGTTGATATAAAGAGACAAGGTTACATTTGAAACTATGATGTTGTGCTTGATCTTACATTGGGATATTTTGTATGATTGTGCCCGGGCTGACAACATGAACTGTATAATCTGACCATTCTATTTTCTGTATCCATCTCCGTTCGAATACGCGTGCGATTAAAGCGACCGTTTTTCTTTCTTCGTATAATTTCATTATGCTAGATAATTTCGCCTTCGTATGCATGTCAATAGTCCTCCTTTGCTACCACCTAAAAGCTAGTGCTGTAGACATTACATAGTCTAATGACTTGCTAAATAACATACAGATAGTTGGAAGGGTTCTGGTGAGCCTTTGAACATGCTGCTATTACATAGGAGGAAGGCATACAAAATGCCTGAAACTTTCTGCAGTCACACCAACTCTTATCTAGTTCCACTCGGTAGCATCCCCTATGCCTCCCTTCATTGTGATTCATTGACTCAGCAACACTGAACCAACCTTTATTATGGTCAAACACTGTGACCACATGTGTGTTAGCTTTGACAACTTCATCCTTAATGAATTTCATTGAACTATCACTGAACAACTGCCCAGATTGTAAGACAGACTCCACTTTGAACGCCTGATATCAAAAAGTGCCCCGAGCCTGAAATATGTTGCCCTTACCAAAGCAGTTATTGGTAGGCTTTAGATGCCCTTGAATACATAGTTCATTGATTCAACGAGGTTTGTTGTCACGTGGCCCCATCGTTGGCCATTGGCGTATGCCCTGGTCCATTTCTCTAGTTGAATATTATCGATCCATCTTAATGCATTTGCGTTTGTCAATATGATTTCGTCACGGTAGTGTTTGGAGGAAGGTTCTGTTAGTGTATACCTTGCGTTCACAACCTTCTTCCGCAACATCTTATCCTTGATCTCTCGCATGAAAGTTTGAGCAATGTGTCTTACGTAATACACATGCGTTGATGGAGAATCCTGCCAACCGTTATCAAGATTCTTGTATGCACTCTCAATAGATGGACGTCTGTCAGAAATCAAACATATGTTAGGTTGGGGAGACACGTGTAATCAGAGATTTTTTAGGAAAAAAACTCCAACCTTCACCAGTCTCCCTTTCAACTAGAGCCAAGGCGATTGGAAAAATGTTGTTGCCATCCTATGCCACTGCCATGAGTAGCGTGCCTTTATATTTCTCGTACAATCATGTTCTATTAATTTGAATAATAGTTTTACAGTATGCAAAATATTTGATACATGGTTCAAACGCCCAGAAGAGTATGTGGAAAATGTCATTTCCACTGACACAAGTCCCTTTTGGGTATACACCGATAAGGTCTCCAAGATGGAAACAGTCCCTGAAGCATATTCTTTAAGTGCCACCAAGTATTTTGGAAGTTCTTTGTACGACTCCTCCCAATTTTTGAATACCGTTTCGATCGCCTTAGTCCTAGCTATCCATGATTTCCTATACAATGGAGTATAGTTGTATCTTTAAACTATATGCGAGATTATGGTACTCACCTTCAAAGAAGGATTGTCGCTAATGACTGACATAATTTCATTGCATATCAACTGAGAGATGAGTTCGCGATGATCCTAGTGTGCTATGAACCCATTGACCATATATTCCATGAGTCACTTCTCTTTCGGTAACATGCTGTCAATCGAAAATGGCACACCTCGTTACAACAGTAGATCTTATACAGAGTCAGATTCGT